TTGACAATCTTAGTGAAATGGATACATATTTACAAAAATATAAATTGCCCAGATTAACCAAGAGGAAGTAAAATACTTAAATAACCCCATCTCAGAAAAAGAAATTGAACAAGCCATTGATGAACTCCCTAGGAAAAAATCTCCAGGGCCAGATGGATTTACATGCGAATTCTATCAAACATTTAAAGAACAATTAATTCCAATACTATATAGACTATTTGGGAAAATAGGTGAAGAAGGAGTCTTACCAAATTCTTTTTATGATACAAATATGGTGTTGATACCTAAACCAGGAAGAGTCAAAATAGAGAAAGAAAATTATAGACCAATTTCTCTAATGAATATAGATGCAAAAATTTTAAACAAAATATTAGCAAGTAGATTGCAGCAACTTATCACAAGAATAATACACTATGACCAGGTAGGATTTATACCAGGAATGCAGGGTTGGTTCAATATTAGGAAAACTATCAGCATCATTGAGCATATCAACAACAAAACCAACAGAAACCACACGATCATCTCAATAGATGCAGAAAAAGCTTTTGATAAAATACAACACCCATTCCTATTAAAAACACTAGAAAGCATAGGTATAAATGGAGTCTTCCTTAAAATAATAAATAGCATCTATCTAAAACCTTCAGCAAGCATTATATGTAATGGGGACAGGCTAGAAGCATTTCCAATAAGATCGGGGGTGAAACAAGGATGTCCATTATCACCACTGTTATTCAATATTGTACTGGAAACTTAGCTTTAGCAATAAGAGAAGAAAAAAAATTGAAGGCATTAGAATAGGCAAAGAAGAAACAAAGCTATCACTCTTTGCAGATGACATGATGATATACTTAGAGAATCCCTAGAGAATCAAGTAAAAAACTACTTGAAATAATAAACAACTTTAGCAAAGTTGCAGGCTATAAAATAAACCCACATAAATCATCAGCATTTCTATATATTACCAACAAAGCCCAACAGCAAGAGATAGAAAGAGAAATCCCATTTAAACTTACTGTAGACATTATAAAATATTTAGGAGTCTACCTCCTGAAACAAACCCAGGAACTCTATGAACACAATTACAAAACACTTTTCACACAAATAAAATCAGATCTAAATAATTGGAAAAACATCAGTTGCTCATGGGTAGGCCGAGCTAATATAATAAAAATGACAATCCTACCTAAGCTAATTTACTTATTCAGTGCCATACCAATCAAACTACCAAAAAATTATTTTATAGAGTTAGAAAAATAATAACAAGATTCATTTGGAAAAACAAAAGGTCCAGAATATCAAAGGAACTAATGAAAAGAAATGCAGGGGAAGGTGGCCTAGCAATTCCAGATCTTAAATTGTATTATAAAGCAGCAATCATCAAAACTGCTTGGTACTGGCTAAGAAATAGGGAGGTGGATCAGTGGAATAGGTTAAATATGCAAGACACAGTAGTCAATGACTATAGTAATCTATTATTTGATAAACCCAAAGACCCCAGCTTCTGGATAAGAACCCACTCTTTGAAAAAAACTGCTGGGAAAACTGGAAAAGAGTATGGCAGAAACTAGGCATAGACCCAAATCTCACACCATATACCAAAATAAAGTCAAAATGGGTTCATGACTTAGATATAAAGGCTGATACCATAAGTAAACTGGGAGAACAAGGAATAGTTTACCTATCAGATCTATGGAGAACAGAAGAATTCATGACCAAACAGGAGATAGAGAACATTATGAAAAGCAAAATGGATAATTTTGATTACATTAAATTGAAAAGTTTTTGCACAAACAAAGCCAATGCAACTAAGATTAGAAGGAAGGTAGAAAATTGGGAAAGAATTTTTACAACCAGTCTCTCTGATAAAGGCCTCATTTCTAAAATATATAGAGAATTAAGACAAATTTATAAGAACACAAGCCATTCCCCAATTGATAAATGGTCAAAGGATATGAACAGACAGTTCTCAGATGAAGAAATTAAAGCCATCTATAGTCATATGAAAAAATGCTCTAAATCTTATTGATTAGAGAAATGCAAATCAAAACAACTCTGAGGTACCACATCACACCTATCAGATTGGCCAACATGACAAAACAGGAAAATGATAAATGTTGGAGAGATGTGGGAAAATTGGAACACTAATACATTGTTGGTGGAGTTGTGAAATGATCCAACCATTTTGGAGAACAATTTGGAACTATGCCCAAAGGGCTACAAAAATGTGCATACCCTTTGATCCAGCAATAGCACTTCTAGGGCTATATCCCAAAGAGATCAAACAAATGGGAAAAGGACCCACATGTACAAAAATATTCATAGCAGCTCTTTTTGTGGTGGCAAAGAATTGGAAATTGAGAGGATGCCCATCAATTGGGGAATGGCTGAGCAAGTTGTGGTATATGAATGTAATGGAATACTATTGTGCTATAAAAAATGATGAACAGGCTGACTTCAGAAAAAACTGGGAAGACTTATATGGTCTGATGCTGAGTGAAGTGAGCAGAACCAAAAGGACTTTGTACACAATAGCAGCCACGTTATGCAATGACTAAGAATGTTAAACCGAACCCTTCTCAGCATTACGAGGATCTAAGACATCTCCAGAGGCCTCGGGATGGAAAATGCTGACCACATCCAAAGAATCGCTCTCACTTATTTTTACTCTTTGTTGAGTTTTGTTTCATCTTTCTGATGGTTCCTCCTATTGGTTTTAATTTTTACTTACAACTTCACTAATGTGAAAATACGTTTAATGGGTATGTAAATGTAAAGCCTATCAGATTGTGGCCATCTTGGGGAGTGGGGGGGAGGAAAAGGGAGAAAAATTTTCAACTCAAAGCATATGGAAAAAAAAAATCAAATATATGGAAAAAAAAAATTTCCTAAGCTGTTGATAACACTGATTTATTGCTTAAGTTGGCACCTATGATGAATTTTAAAAAATTAAAGTGAAAAAAAAGAAGCAACAAAGTGAATTTTCTTGTGCTGGATATAGATAGCTGAGACCACAGTCACATCTTCTGTCAGTAGCTCATATCATAGCTGATCTTATGAGTAAGGGTGTGAACAAGGAAGGGAATAAAGGGAGTTTTGGTAAACTATCTTCCTTATTCCCTGTATATGTGGAAGGTACCTCTCTTCTATGCAGATCTAAGATAAATTTTTTTCTCCACTAAGGTGACTGAGCAAATTCACAGGCAAAATTTTATCAGTTAGCATTTGTCAGACATTATGACACAGATATAATTTTTAATCAAGAGGGTGAACAAGCTAGAATTTCTTTTAAAAATCATTTTAGTATTAATCCAACTAGTAAAATGTTTGACGAGAACAATATTCTCATACTTAGAAATTCGACAAAAGGTAAAATCTTCCTGATTTTTAGTGTTCACATGCATGGGTTCACGCATAACTGCTTTACATTTAGTTTAAGATCTCCTCGTTTAATAAGCAGAAAATGTGCATCTTTACATGTTTAAGTTTTAATATGAATTTTTGTTCAAAACAACACAGACATGCAGGCTACTTGTAAATGATACAAGATTTTAAACTAATGAGGCATTATGTAGAACATATGCAAAAATCACAACTTGGTCTTCCCAAATAGGCCACAACAACAGGAAAAAACATGATTTTAATAAAAAGGAGCAGCACTGGGCTCTTACTTCAAAGCAATTAAAGGCTTTGAATAACCAAAAGTTTATGTCAAGCTGATGCCAAACCAAACTGGTCTATTAAACACACACTATGAAGGGTTTCTGTAATATTCTCTGAAAAGGCTCTCTGCCATAAATATCAGGCACTACTACTCTGAAGATTACAACTACATTAAATTCATGTTTGGTACATGGAATCTAACATCCAGATCAGACTTCTAGAATTTCAAATCTGAAATAATGCATCTGTAAAAAAGAAGTTTAAATATGTTTTTTATTTTGTGATATTTCTCTACAGTAAATTATACCAAGTTTTACATTCTCCCTAACATTACTTCAACAGTTTTCCATTAGTTTAAAGAAATTGCTGTTACCCATAAAATATCAAAATACATGTAAACATATGGGGAAAAAAACCCCCTGAAGTCTCTTCTAGTAAGTTATATCTTTAGTTTTCACTACTGCATCTCAAGTAGGCATACCATTCATTACAGGTATCTTTAATTTTCAACAAATATAAAAATGAAACCTTTACAAAGTTTATGAGGCAAGAAATAAATTCAGTATCCACCTCATTTAGAGGATTTTAGGGAATTCACAAGTCCCTGTACCCTTTAGCTTCATTTTAATTTAGTCTTCTGATTGGTGAAAAAAAAAAATCTATGTGCCAAAGTGATGGCTGAATACATAGCTCTCTCAGCTCTCTAAATACACCTTTTAGAATTTTTTTAAAAAAGGAACATCTACATCATATGTCTGAATCTCATCTTCACAATATAAATAGTAATATCAAAGTATATGTTGCTCTATTTTATCTGACTACTCCTCAATCTTCTTTGCTGGATCTTAATCTAGGTCATGTCTGAAAACCATGGGGGTCTGGCAGGATTCTGTCATGCACAGTGGCAGATTAGAATTCTACAAGGAGGGACTGGCACTTAGGCAACATGAGTTCTAGTTTTGTCACAAATGGCTTGGGATACTTTGGATGATTTGCTTAATCTTTCCATTTTCTCTTCTACAAAATATAATGACTATACTGGATGATCTCAAAGATCCCTTTCAATCCAATATGCTATGAACCTATGATGTGAATCTACAACTTTCTGTTTTCATGCCTTAATTTCCCTAGGAAGATAGCAGGTTACACAGCATGTTAATGGTAGCACACTACCCATAGGCCATTAGGCCAAATGAATGTAAATAAAAATCTGAACTTATACACAGGAAAATTCAGATTAATCAATAAAATATAATCAATAAGACATAAAATATAATAACAATGCATTATGTATTAACTGTGACTGCTGTAGGTGGAAATTTAGATTTTCTAGATACCTTTGATCTGTTGCTTGCTGCTCTCGAAGTTGTAAAAGAGATGCCTCATACTCATTTTCTTTTCTCCTCATTTGAGTTTTCAATACCTCTGCCATGTGCTCCAGATCTAGTATCTGGTCTCTTTGTGTTTCAACCAAACTTTCTCTAAAACATAGGAATATCATTAATGAAACACTGTTGTTTGGAGGAAAACTTTAAAATCAAAGCTAAAAATATTCTTTATGTTGAAAGGAAGAAAAGGTAGATTTTCTGATTCAACACTAATAGGATGAAAATGTACACAAGACATACGTTTACTTTATCATATTCACCAAGGGACTGAATTCTGGTTTAATTCATTAAGATATATAAAAATAATCAGTTGAAGTTAGAATTAGAAAATAAGAATGGAATAGCATAAATGATTATTTTGTATCTAACTACAGATTGTAACCAGAACAGCTAGATTTTGCAATATTTCTCAGAAGCTCAAGAAACAGGGATGGTCTGTATCACAGAAGATAAGGAACTGTGGAAACATAGGCCATCTATGCCCAATTCTCTGCTTCTAGCAATCTGAAATGTAAACGTAGGTGCTGGAAGCAAAGGTAAACGTGAAGGGACCAAAGTTTATAGACTCGCTGAAGATAACTAGAATCTTGAGTACAGAGGAGGAGTTCAACAAATACTTCTTTAATGAATTTTAAAGCCATTGCAAGGGGGCAATCATCTAGAGAGAGATAATAACTCAGACTGTCCTAATTTCATTTTGTATGGAGAAGCAGAGCTCTGATCTATGAGGTCCATTCACACCTTTTCTTAGACCTCTTGCCATTTGTGTGCTATACTGTATGATACTTATGAATCCCTTCTCTTCTCCTAAATGTCATCACCGATAACCACACTTTTGCCAGTGTGGAGTATTCTTAGCACATGTCATATCTGGGTTTGAACGTAACAATAACAGGTAGTGTTTATACAGCATTTTACGACTTGGAGAGTGCTTACAAATATTATCTAATTTTATCTTCTCAACCACCCTTTGAGGTAGGTGCTATTATTATCACCCCCATTTTGTTGATGAGGAAACGTAGGCAGGTAGGGGTTAAATGACTTGCCTAGGATTACACAGCTAGTAAGCGTCTGATGCTGACTCTGAATTCGGATCTGACTAACTCCAGGTCTAACACCCTTTCTACTGTTCTGCTTAGTTGTAGTGTCTGTTAGACTATAAATGCTCTAAAGCCCTGAAGCTATAATTACATTCTGTGAATCCCATAATTATAAGATGATAATAATAATAATTGCTAACATTTATATAGTGTTTGAATATTTGCAAAGTACTTTACGTGTGTGTGTGTGTGTGAGTGTGTGTCTATGTATTTAGGAACTTCAAAGGTGATCTGGTTCAACTCCCACTGCCTTCTATTCTCTTCTTTGCATTAAAAAATTTCAATGGCTCTCTTTTTTGGCTATCATTATTGCTAACCCTGCTTCCCCACAATTCTATGCCATTAAAAAAAACACTAAAAGAAAACTAAAGGACAAACAAAAAGTCTCATAGCAAACATAGTCAAGCAAAATGAATACAAATAATGGCCTTGTCTAAAAATGTATGCTTTTTTCTGTATCTTAGAATTCATCATCTTTCTATCAGAAGCTTCATCATAAGTCCTCTGGAGACACGGTTGGTCATCGCATTAATCAGATTTCTCAAGTCTTTCAAAGTTGGTTTTTTTCAGCCAAGTTCCTTAAAGAAGTATTTATTGAACTCCTACTATGTAATCAGGATTCTGGCTGTCTTCAGCTACTCTATAAGCTTAGGCCCTTTCATGTTCACTACATTAAGAATCAGAGAATTGGCCATAGATGGCCTATGTATACACAGCTCCCAAACATTCCTGTTTCTTGAGCTTTATGGAAAAATTGTGAAACCCAGCTCTTCTTGCTACAATCTATATTTAGATAAGAAAATATCCACTGTATGTTACTTGATTCTAACTTCAACTGATTATTTTTATATATTTATGGTCAGAGGCTATTTTAATAGAAGGCAAAGCATTACAAATATGTCTACACAAATGAGTCAAATTATCTTTTGAGGTTTATTATCTACTGAAGGCATGTTATTTATCCTAAGATATTTTTTCCCTTTATTACATACTCACCCAAAGTAAATCTCAAGAATGCTTGACAATAAGAATATGACATTGACTATGATCCATTGACAGTTAATTTGAAAGGTTTTTTAAAATGAAAAAGTGATATGAATGTAGTAGAAATTAAAATTCTGAAATAAAAATATGAAATATTATGTATTGGAAATATATTACAAAACTAAAGGCTAAAGCCATAGGTGCCATTTATTTCATGCTGTTGAACGATGGCTCCTTTACCACCAAAAGAGCTAATTAATTCAGGACCTAAAAAAAATGTACTTACATTTTCTTTGGCAAGAGAATATTGACTCTGAAGCTTATACTATTCTAAATGATTGGGATTTATGCTGTTCCTTGGGGGGAAGAGGGATTGGATGATACTAAAAGTACCTGTTCTCTAAACTTTTCAGTCAATGAAGTTGGAAGTTTTTCTTATTGAATATGTTGTACATCTATTCTGATTTACCACAGAATTGGTTATGGTAATATTTAATCTAATTTTTAAAAAAATCTGGTTCTTAGAAAGGTAAATAATAAAATTTTCAACCACAACGAATGAGAAGTGTACATACAAAGCTTTTATTTCCTCCCTTGCTTCTTGAAGTAAACGTTGTTTAACTCCTGTAATTGAGGGTTGTGGAGTTCCTGCTTCTACTGCATCTTGTAATTTTGTTCCTAAAAATAAATATGACAAAACTGAGTTTACTGAAGTGGTTTTAATAGCTACAAGCACTAAAAAGGCCTTTTAGTTGTCTGTAATATTGATATTTATAATTAAATAAGGATCAATAATAAGTTTTTTGTCACACATCATATTTCTTCAAAGGGATTGTTAGATCTCAAACAGTTGAAATTACATAAAACACAGTAGCATGTATCATATAAATCATGAACAAATTCTATTGTAAAAAATGAATTACCTTAAAGTTATTAGGTTCAGATTAGATTTAGAATTCCTGGAGTAAGGGTGGAAAAAAAAAAGCATAGACAACTAACTCTTTAATACAGACCTTCACAGAACAAAATAAAGGACAGAGGAAAAGGAAACAGACAAATCTCTATTTTTTTTTGTTAGTAATAATCTAGGTAATTAAGACAAAGGGCAGCTAGATGGTACAGTGGATAGAGCGTCAGGCTCTATCAGGAAGTTAGGAAGACCTTTGTTCAAATCTGACCTCAGACACTTCTAACTATGTGACCCTGCACCAGTCACTTAACCCTCAATTTTCTCATCTGTAAAGTGAGCTGGAGAAGCAAATGACAAACCACTCCAGTATCTTTGCCAAGAAAACTCCAAATGGAGCCACAAAGAGCTGAAACAACAGAACCACAAATTAAGAAAAAAGAAGGGTTTTTTCTTGGAGTATAGAAACAGATACTTGAACTAATAGGAACATTAGTGCTATTTAATGTTAGTGTTCTGAAAATGTAAATAAAAATTCTTAAAATTTACATGAAAGATAAAACAGGGACAGTTATTTGCTTTATAAAAATAATTTTCAGCTTTACTGAAGAATTCACAATTGAATTCCTTTCAAAAGAAAACTCTTGCTGTATGTAAAATATGATTTAATTAACCAAAGAATAATTTATATATCATTTTCTAGAAATCCATCATAAAATAAAATTAGTCACCTTTTTACTTGCTTTTGTTTGCCTTTTTTTTTGGGGGGGGGGTGAGGCAAATGGGATTAAGTGACTTGCCCAGAGTCTCACAGCTAATGAGTGTTCTGTGTCTGAGGCCAGATTTGAACTCAGGTCCTCCTGACTCCAGGGCCTGTGCTCCACCCACTGCACCACCTAGCTGCCCCCACACTTTTATTTGCATACTTTATCTTTTAGTTTTGGTTCTGAAATTTGAAATGGATAAAAACATAGAGTAGAACTTAGTCATTTGTTGCATAAATTCTATTTAAATGAAAGATATCCTCAAGCATTCATTAATGAACTAAGCACAGAGCATATTAGAGCTGTATAAGCTTACAATGAAGTTGAATGGCTTTAGAAAAGTTCATTTTTCAACAAATTACAGTATGATCCAGAGTTACAGAACTTTCACCTATTTTTGTAGGTACTGAGTATAAAGAATTTCTTTATATATTATTATAAAAACTATTTTACCTGTGGAGTAAATGACTTTCCAATGCCAAGTATCAGTCTCACCTGATTGCCATTATGATTAGTTTAGCAACAATTCCAAATTTTTTTCTAAGCAAATTATGCTATGAGTGGGTACTATAAAAATAATTTAAAAATGGACACTTGTACTATACTGAACAAGGCTTAACATAACCTACTCAACAGTGAAATAATTGCCTGAAAGATTAAGAATCCTTAAAATACACAAAATTTAGAAAAAGGTTCTAATTAGTTTATTACACTTTAATATTTCAGTGGATCTGTGATCTCATTGACATAGTTCTTTCATCATAGCTCCCAACACATCCTTGAAGTCCCATCCCCTGGGACTTGTGCCTCAAGGGCTTTACAAAAGATGCATCAATATGTTAGCCATTTTCCTCTAGTCTTATTCATTTCATGGGTAGTAGTAGGGCATTCAGGTATTCATATAATATCTCCTTGTCATCATGTGATTGGTCTAATTCCTTTTTTTGTTCAAACATTTCCTCAATGATATTCCTTATTCTACTTTTTGCATGTAGGTCATCATTGACAATATGATACTTCCTACTGGGGCACATTTTGTGTCGTCTACTACTCACAACTTTGATTCCTTGGAGAATGTGGTATTTCAGTACTTGAAAACAGTTGCATAAAAATGTGGATCTTTGTGTTGGGGAAAGGTTCAGGATTGCTGAAACCACAGAGCAATTTCTCAAAAGCAATCAGGACCAGTATCTACATCAAATTCAGTTCTGGGACCAACTCATCATCTGCTTTGTAACATGCCATAAATATATATACCAATGTACTATCTTAATGGACTGGTCAATCAACTGCACATCAGAGTTGGGACATTAGGTATTTTTCATCACTTAGTTTTTTCTTGAATGTATCTTTAGTCATTTCTTTTGAGTAACAATAAATTTCATTGCAGCGGTCCTGTACTGTTCTGGGGCTTGATATAATGAGTGTAACATTATCTGCAAAAAGAAGCATCTGGTGGATCTTACCTCATTGTTTAGACCTTACGACTTCTTCCATGATAATGCTGAACATTTTGGACAAGTAAATTTTGTCATACTTTATCTCTTGTTTCACATAAATCAGAAGTAATTTGAAAAGTTATTTCTGTCATTGCATTCATTATGGAATCTTGTGATTCCATAGTATGCAACATACTTGTTGGAAGAAAGCCTTTTAGGCTGAGATTTGTTCCACCAAGTCAAAATTACACACACACACACACACACACACACACACACACACACACACACACATACATAATCAACAAGCAATAAACATAGTGAGTCCTTGTAACTCAGTCAATTACATGATTAAAAAGATATGTTTTTTTCAGAGGCAATCACTTGAGAAAGCCTGTCTCTTTTCATACTTTCATCAAAGATATCCTCAATATGCATATAGGTCACTTTTGTAAAGATTTTATAAAGATGAGAAGGTAGGATTATGGGTAATTACTGAAGATCTCTCAATAATATCTGGGGAATATTAATATCATTCAACATTCTTTCCATGATTTTGGTACCTTCCCCTCCTTTTGATAATTGTAAAGTGAAACTGCCATGCTTTCAAGATTATGTTACACTTCCCATGGATTGCATCAGTGTATACTTGCTTTCAGTCACACTTTCTAACTTCGTTTTCTCAAGTGCTACTTCTGTTTCTGTGTATAGTACATTGACTGAGGTATTAGGGGGGTTCCTTTGTCAGTGATGATAAAAATAGATGGTTATGGAAACACTGAAAATTTTCTTTTTTTCCTCTGTGTCTCTGTTGTCTTCATAATAGTTTCATTCATGAATGAACAGTGTGATAGTTCATTCATTTGGATCTCATAGCAAACTTTTTGTAGACTTAATTGTATTTTGTTGAACTTGTATTCTGAACTGAAATGCCAACTCTCTCCACTTGGCAAGGAAATCAAATGTTTTCTTTTTCCAGTGATGTCTGGGCCTTGTGGCCTCCTCCTTATGGTAAGTGTTTTACATCCATTTAATTTTTGCAGAAAATGGTGATAATTAACATCAATATCATTGTCTTCCTGCATTTCTTATTTTTTAGGTTTCCTTTGAATACAGCAGGTTGAAGCTCTATATGCTAGTATCTTCTCACCTTTTTTCTAAGTTGATATTAATTTTGATCTCTACTTTAACTAGTGGATGGTGTAATGTTGCACATTTAACTCATTCTAATATGAGCCCAATATCAATAATTAACAATTTCTGAAAAAATATTAAATAAAAAAATTATGTTGATAATCACTCACTTTTTAATTCCCTTCTGGAAGAAAGTCTTCCTAACAGATAGGCATGAGGCTTCTGATTAGTCTAAAAGACTCGGGCTTTTGAAATTTCTGAAGCCTAAGCCATTATTTTTAAATATACTAGCACTTAATAGACAGATAAGGGGTTTAGAACAGGTCTTCTTTGGCCAAAGAGTTATGTGTGTTAAGAAATGTGCTGAGAACCGAATTATTTCTAAATTTTATGAGCCATCAAGAATCATGTGATATACAACTACAGAGTCATTTAAAAGACTGTTATTACTACTTTGCTGATCCTTCCAAAGAGAGGAATTCTGTTTACTCTTGGAATTTACAAGTTTTTATTTAAAGGGGTATAAAATGTGACCTATCTAGGCACTGATTATATAGCATTGCTAATTTTTGAAATTCCCATAGTAAATTCAATTAGCTAAGATAAAGAACAAAAAATAATAAAGGCATTTGGTATATGAAGAATTTTCAAGATAGAATAAACTATAAAAATTACTTAGTCCAAATCCCTCATTTTAAAATGAAAAAAAATGAAGCCTGGATAAGTTAAATGACTCACTTAAAGTCATACAGCTAATGGTACAGTTGAGACTAGACTTTGATTCCTAACATACTGTTCTTTGTGCTATACCATAACATGTGTCTTTAACATATATTATTCCATAAATTCATAGTTAATAAATAATTTTTTTAAAAAAAAACCCTGACCAGCGTTTGTTTATAGGTACTTTTTCCATTTACAGATAAAGAAGAAACTGAGGTTCAGAAAGATCAAATAGTTGGTTCAGGTCATGAAATTAATCAATGACAGCATTCTATTTTCTGGGTCATAATTTATAATGTTTCTATAAAGAGTCTATTTCTAAAACTAAATTGCTATAAATGACCAAGCGCTTTCCTCATGTATCTCCATTCTACATTTATGAGTGCTTATAGATTTCAAAGAGATGTCTGTGCAAAGAAGACAGTTACAGTTTTCAGCTATAGATTGAAAACTATAAGCAACTATTTTTGTCTTTTCTTTTCAAGTAAGCTTTCTTCACTAAATTAAGCACGGGATTTTAGGTTACTTTTCTGTGGAACTATATCTTGATTTTAAAAAGTTTTCATTTCTCATGAAATAAAAGTTTTTTTAAAAAAAGGAATTAATTTATAATCAGAAATGAATGTTTCTTGTGTTATACGAAACAAATAAAATCACTAGATTCCATTACACTTTAATATCACTGTAAATAAAGTGGTTGAGTTTGTTAAGAAAAGGAATGGGATTATGGCTAAATGATCTGGTTTGGGGTTCCTTACAATTGTAAGGTCATTTTATCTCTGTTATTCATCTGTAAAAAGAGGAAAATGCTAACAGCTCATAGTGAAGAAAATTTATTCTTTAGCATCTGGCAAACTTTATGTAAGGGCTGTGATAACTTTATAAAAAGTTCATAAAACTTTTATAAAAACAAGACAGTTTGAGGACTTTAAAGGAAACAAACTGATTTTCTTTCACTTGCTTTCTCAAATTCAAAGCTTAATTTCCTTCTTTTTAAAAAAGAAATCTAGGTTTCTCAAACTGCACTTAAAATGTAATTTGCAAACAGATTTGTTCTTTACTTTTACATAAATTAAGTTTAACTTTTCTTTCAAAAAATCAAAGGTAAAATAATTTGTTTATTCTTAAATAATAAATTATTTTGCTATAAGCTCAAGCTACCCAGATAGCATGTTACAAATGCTAAAATTAATCAAAAGCAAGAATGAAGAATTGTTCTAGCTTTTTAAAGCCAACAGTGGAATTTAGTGATAGAGAAAATTGAGCTCTAAGAATTCCAGTTTTAAACAGATTTTGATTATACCTTTCCTTGGGCTTTCCTGAAAGTCAGAAATCTCATTCACTTTTCTCCGTCCTGTGTTAATACGAGATTGTACGTGGTTATATGGAGTGTGTCTATGACCTTGGAATTGAAGTTGCTGTTTAGTAGAAATTAGTTTGTTTCTGAGGCCTTCATTTTGTTTTTCAAGCTCATGAACTCTTTCTTGCAGCTGCTCAATCGTTTCTTCTAGTTCCACATCCCGTCCTTGCCGCTTGGGGCCGCCACCAATCCGCTCACATCTTTTCTTGTCATTAACAAGCCGTATTAACTTGGTGGCCATTCTGGGGGAAATAATAAAAAAGATGAAAAGGAATGTGAGAAGTCAGCATAAAATGCATTCTGTTGAAAGGAACATAATCACTGTGAAGACTTCAGTGCAGAACCTGAATAATAAATTTCAGGTTTTGATGTAACTATTACTGCCTGTGAAGAATCCTTTGATGATAATTGAAACCACTGGGCAACAATCTGCTTTATAGCACTGACAAATAACAGTTTCCTAAGGCTTATCATTTAAGGTTAGTAAGGAGAGAACACATATTTACTCCATATGCCCCTTAAATACAATTTTTAACGCATGACCTTATATAAGAACTCGGCATGCCATTAAGCATAGTTACAGTTTGTAGATGTCTGTCATGAATAAAGTATAAGATATAAAATAAATAATTGTTCAATTCAATTTGTAATTCTACTATGAGTTTAAACTACTTTGAAAGCATATTAATAATATGTTAACATTTGATGACATATTGTCTCTGATTTCTTTTTAAGACTGGAAGGTATATAACAATTTTTAAAATGTGTGGTTGGGCAAATCTAAAACCATGATGAATTCTAAGTGAATGAAACTGTTATAATACCCCAATTGAATAAGAAACATAATTGTTAATAGTAGAAAATGATTACAGAATATATGGTTTTCTCCTATCTTTAAATGTTACAAATTTTATTTGTGGAATCACAAGAGTTATACTTTTGATTCCTTTGAGTTTTGATAAACACTAGTAAGACAGAACAAAAGACAGAAAGGGCACATGAGGGTGATGTAATATACAAGCACGGAAAACATGCCCGACAGTGAATGTAAAAAAAAAAAACTTGGCAAGACAAGAAAGAAAAGGTGGCTTTGATGAGAGATACAAGTTCAAGACTTTACAAAATTGGTCGCACATCTTCAATAGCTGTATCTAATTTATAGAGAATCCATTTTTGCAAAGACCCAGACAGGAGATTAAAAAAATAAAAACACACTTCATTTGTTCTATGGGGTTTGCTTTATTTTAGCATGGTTACAGACAGAAGCTTTTACTTAAAAGAACAAAAGTGAAATAAAAAAAACCCTTTAATAGCTTTAGGATGTCACAGAACACTAGTTCTTTTACCCATAAGCAAAGTCCTCTATGGATGCAGTAGCAAATACATATTTAGCTACACTTTTGTTTGTACAGCATATACCATCAAGGAAATTTATATATAACATAATCAGTTAAGATTTTTCCTTGAGGCCGACTTGTAAGAGATAAAGGAAAAATGCTGATAACTACAAATGGAGTACCCCATCATATTTATCAATGGTTCAGTTCCTCTTTTCCATAATTGAAAGAGACCAAAGATATCTAATTAGCAACTCTGCCAACATATAGTAACTCAACCCTGTTCTGATCATGGAAGAAGAGTTCGAAGATTTTGAGTCATTTGTAGCCTAACTATGGGAACAAATTACATGTATGTGAGTCACAGTCAGCCATGTAGAGATAGCTCAATAGATTTGGTGATGCCAATTTACACATCGAAATTCACTCAATCATACAAAGACATATGGATGTTCTACTGAAGATATAAATATTGTTCCAAGGGCATACCAAATTTAATGCTATACTATTAATCTACACTTGGAGGAAAATCTATGATCATAATTTCAGAGACAAGACAAGTGAATCAATATAACAGTTTTAAATTTCTTCAGTGAAGTTATAAGTAAACCTTGTTGGTATAAACAACATGGAACTTAACGCTGACACTCAAAAAATACTCTTCAATAAATAGCCAATGTTCTATAGTGAAAATATTATGATATAAATTTCCAAATAATCAACCTCTTGCCCAGAAGGTATAATGATTTATTCTGAGCAAACAGTAAAGAAAGGAGAATTCCTTTATTCAACTTTAATTAGTAAGATAAACAAGTTAATAATTAAAGTACTACTGTAATGCCTCCTCATGCCGCGAATATGACTGACTCTCAGTAACAATGAATACGAGTCCTCACAGGTTGGAAAGGATTCTAGTATGAATACTGAGACTATGTTTGGGGAGACTAATCCCCAGAAGATTGGTCAGAAGAGGATGAAGAATTTTTCTAGTTAAAGTAATTTATGTAACAATTTATTAAGGTGGGGGTAAGAGTTAGTGGGAAGATAGACTTGCTAATTATATCAATGGAAAGAGTATTCACCCACCAATGGATGCATAGATCTTTTGAAGTATAAGAAGCAAAAAACAATTATATCTTGTGAGATTTCTGGATTGGTAGAAAAATCATAGGCTAAAACATTTTTAGGATCTAGCAACATGGCTGTTTACAAAATTACATTTATATTTAAGGCAGAGAAAAGATGGGTAAATTTAAAATCATCTAAATCTAGGTATCTTTGCAATGTCAGTGCTGGAAGGAACCTCAGAAAAATGCTCTGCAAATCTTAAAAGACTATTTAATAATAAATAATTCCCTTTTTTTTTTTGAATGTTGAAACTGAGGCCCTCAGTGAAGCTGAGTGATTTGCTCAATACAGACTGGAAGGAGTTTAAAAGCCATATAGTCTAATCCTTTAATTTTATGGATGGTAAACATGAGGCACAAAGAGGTTAATGATTTACCCAAGGTCACAGAGGAGCAACTGGGAGGAAGGATTCAAGGCCAGATCCTTTGACTTCCAATCCAACACCTGACTGTGCTATGTTACTTCCCATAGTTATTCAATGAAGAGCCTTGATTAGGGTCCTCTGAATCTAGGGCTTCCAACTGATTGTATGCCTTTTTTTTTTCATGATGCCACCTTGCTTTCTCTATTGTCCTCTTTATAGTTTCTGGTTGGAGTGTAGTGCTAATGATGTCAAGGCTGGGATTTAATTTTGTATTGGCTAATGGGCTACGTAGAGAGGAAAACCATGTTTCATGGCCAAAGGCCACACTCTTAACTCCAATCATTTGATAAAATGACCTTGAGAAAAGTCACTTAACCTTTCTAGGCCTATTTTCTAACACATAAAATGGAAGGTTTGGACTAAATGACCTCAAAGATGTCTTCTAGCTCTAAATCTTATGAAAATGTATGATGTTGGTCATAAATGAATCAGGAAAAATACTCTATCTTTGCATAACCTACCACTGCCACCAGTATTGGAAAAACAATTTAAAATACAAGTCCTCTTCACATTGGTCAGAAGGGTCATCTTGTTCTTTGAAGTACTGAACATTTTATCTAAGTTAAACTTATCAAATTAGGAACTAAAAGAGAAATTCTACTGGTGTATTTTAAATGAAAACAACCAACCAACCAACAACTAGCATTTTCACCTGTACTACTTTTCCACTGAACCCAGAGACTATGAAATATTAATATGAATCTGTTCTAAGAGAATCTGTGTTTACTTTTTTGCAATACTTACTGAACTTTTAAAAAAAGTTACTACGCATTCAAAAGAGCATATTTTTGAACATACAGAAAATGCACATCTAAGAAAATAATACTGGACTAAATTTTTGGTACACAAAAAAAAGGCAGCATGGGTGAACAGACTTTTTTTTTAGTTTAATATATAACCTAAATTAACTCAAATATTAAGAAAATGTTTATTAAGCATGTCCCAAAGATTGAAGAGATGCATTCATTAATAAACTCCAACTCTTAAGGGAACATGAATTCTAAAAAGGCACTTTAAAAATTTTTATTTAAAAAAAAATTTCCATTTTTAAACCAAGTACACATTAAAGACAGATGTCTTGGAACAACTACTTATTAAGTCATAAGTATTATTAAATTACAAACAGACACGTGTAAACTTAAGGTATGGTTAGTTATTAGTTTTTTTCTTTGAAATATTAATTCTAGCCATACCAAACACTCATGATCCTTTAGTTTATAAGAGACTCATTTCCAGTTAAGATAATAAAATATTTGTATACCCTTCAAACCTTGTTTTAAAAAATTCTATATCATAACCTTTTAATTTTATCTTCTTGCTTGGAGGCATGCTGTTTAAGTACAATGTTCTCTTCATGCAAACGCAAAAATCGATCTTCCAATTCCTCACGACTGACACGTGACACGAGTTGTCGAGACTTTGAATTCCAGGGAACTGAAGATTTTGACAAAAAGAAAATTCCAAGAAAATTAATCACATGTTTAATACTTAGGATGCATTTCTTAAAAAAACTTTGACCTGACTTGATCTAGGCTTTTGAAATTTTAAGCAACTCATCATTCACTGAGATAACAACTTGTACATTTCTCATATCACAGGTACATACCAAACATCAATATTTTGGGTTTTTTAAATATTCGTATTAAAGAACACTAATAGATATTCAAAAATTAATACTGCCAATGAAGTAAAAATACTTAGTATTACATCCTGTTAGAGCAGTATCTTAGAGATTATTTAGGGCATATACCCTTTATTTTAGAAATGAGAAAGCCATAGCTTACAACAGTCATTTGTCCAATACCACAAAGATAGTTATTGTGAAACCTGAGGACAGAATCCAGGAATTATAAGATTATAATATGCTGCTCACTCATTAGGAATAACAAAATTTTCCCTACATTTATGAACAATGTTGAGACACGTAAATTAAGAATGAGGACATTTGAAACATTCTTTTTTGTAGATTTGAATGCTAGCGGATTCAGTTATATAAAAAAAAATTTCAAAAATTTGACCTACACCAAAACAATCTAGAAAATTTGTGCACAGTTTTCACTGAAAAGACTGCCTCAGAGAATCATCATTCTACAAGCCACCATATTTATTTCAGAAAATTTTTAATATTATTTGTTGGCATATGCATATGACATCTCTTCAAATCTGTTAAAAAGTACTTTTAATAGTCCTCATAAGACTAATGAAAGAGGATAAATTATTAATCCCATACTAAAGATTAAAAAAAAACACTCAAGCTCCTGTTAACTGTCAAAGAAAACCTGATTTGTGCCTTTGTTTAGAGATGATTTTCTTAGTTACGTGAGGCATCATATACTCTCATAGGGTTTATTACCAATAAGGATTCCAAAAACAAAAGTTGCACAATTTTCACCTTTATCTTCATTGACTAGAATGATAACTTCCTTGAGGCATTTGTTGTCTTTCCATTTTTAATTGTATTCATTAATCTCCAACGTGTCTACTTATGTTCTTTTCATATAAAGGAAGGCAATCAATGCTAAGGAAAAATTAAAATGCTAACAAAAAAAGAACTTAGAATACATTTTGAATTCTTAGCCTAGTCAATAAAGAGCCAAGCAGTATAACATGGCTGACACATTGTGTACACAAATCAAAGCACAAGTTTTAAATTGTTTTCAAAGTTTTAAATTGTTCTCAAAGCTACCCTTTTTCTTCTTTTGGAAAAGTGCCTCTTGGTTCTTTATTAAACCAATGAGTGATGAAAGGATCAAGAAAAAGATTTCCAGAATACATATTAATTTGATTGTGAAAACCCACTATCATCTGAAACAAGTCACTTTAAGACCCTCTACTTAAAAGGCAAATTTTTAAAATATGGCATTTCTCCCCTCATAAAAGTTAAACAGAAAGATACATTTTAATAGTGAATGTGATACAAACCAGGCAATTCAGTTTTAAGGCTTGATACCTTATGTTTATTACATACTGATGTATTTAAAAGATGATTTACAGTTCTTCTTTATCACAACAGAAGACTTTACTTTTTCTGTGAACAGCTGATACCTGATGTATATAATGAAAGTGCATCTTATTTCTGACTTCCATTTTTTAGTCTAGTCTAACTTGGACCTGCATTGTTACTTGAACCTCATATTCTATATGAATAGCATGAAAAATTTAAGATCAAAAGTAAAAAAAAAAACAACCAGTGATCAAATTTCATGACTATAAACTAATAACAGCTGGTCAAACCTTTCAATCCTCCAAGAAGTCGTGGACCTGTATCTTTCACAGGCAGGTCTCCTGCGGTCTCATCAGTTGGGCTAGACATGATCTATCTGTGGATAAGAAAATTCAAATAAAACCTTCTCCATCTAAACTATCCACTATGCAAAATGAATGAGCCAAATAAAAACAAGGCAAGAGCTTTAATAGACATCTTGTTGTCCTACATATGTTGCTCCTAGAAGATGAAAGCTTCCATTCTAAACAAAATACTTCATTTAATCATGGAGAACATGTTCCTTTCAACAGTACCTTCTATAATTTGCTTAGGAAATGAAATAAAGTTAGTCCGTTAGTCTTCTGCTCTCTTCCCTATTCTTCTTGCCAGTTCCCCCCATTCCCAAACTCATCTTAAAACAAAAGATTAAAAAAAAACCAAGCAAAACAAAAACCCCAGAAAACCATGCTTATTCCTACAATGTGGATCCTACCAATTTTAAAGATGGAAGTTTCATAGATATTAGCCTTAGCTTCTAGTACAGTTTGGTCCCCCGAATCTTCAACCAAAAGGTGAAGGAGCTCTAGCTGACTAAAACAAAAAATAAACGACCAAGTTTCTGTCCTACTTACAGCTGCTAACACCATATCTTTACTTTTTCTGTAGATGGGAATGAATAACTTGTCCTCAATGAACTGAATAATGGTATTATTATTTAGATTTAGGAAGTCTGTGGAACATTGGAAATTACTATGAGGAGGATCTACCAAAGCAAAAAACCCTCATTTTTCTGCTAAGTCTAGAGTATTGGTAAATCACAAATAATTTCAGTTATAATCCATAAAAGAATTTTACTTTTCCTTTTAAAGTGAATTTCTTCTAGAAAAGGTATATGCCATGAAATTAAGCCCATAGTAGGGGCTAAGTAAATACCATATTTATTGATGCAACTAAGAAATAAAAGTAACAGAAATTCAATCAAAAGGTGAGGAATTTTTGAAGTTGACTAGTCAAATAGTTCCCTTGTGGTCTTAATTCCCTCAACACTAGGATTTTAAAACAGTATAATACAAAAATATTGATAATTAATTTGCTTTTTTAAAAATTTATAAACATGCTGCACATGTGGAAAATTATATCAAATAAAAATCACGGTTTAAGACATTTTACCTGACACACAACATAGCACACTGTCACCTTCCCTGAAGGCTTCTTCCACTGTAAACGTAGCTACTTGAAAGACCAAACCCCTTGGATTGTAGATTTGTAAGTTACAACATATCAAATACCTATATATACCTGTGAGAAGAACCACATTACAAGTCTCCCTGTGTAAGTGGCAAGTCAGTTATTCACCAAATATTAAATTGCACCTCTGAAATCATCTAGTCCAATCTCTTTATTTTATATAGATGAGGAAAAGGAGGCCCAGAAAGGGTAAGTCATACCATATACATATGTAGTAAATGGTAGAGACAGATTTAAACCCAGTTTCCCTCCAGGCCATCTGATTTATTGAAACACAATAAAGTAACTGCAAATGAGTTGTAGGCTTCCCTCTAATTGTCTTGTCTCCCTTGACCCTCAGTGCCAAGAGAATCAAGGAAGGGATTATAGGTTTAGAACTCACTGTTATTGGTTCGGCAAGCAGTTGGATAAAATGGAGAAAATTTTGGTGTTACTGAAACTAGAAGGATTTTCATAGTAGCAGCCATTCCCATCTGGTTTCACTATGGTCCGGTCCTGCACTGCTCAACATCTTGTCTCTGCTCTGGATCTCCAACTGACCACCCCAACTCTCCAGGATCTATTCCAGCTTCAGGCTGCAGAAACAGCAAACAGAAAGTAACTAGGCTACCTTGCCTCATCACAGGTTCATAGCAAAGGTTATCACTCTTCCAGTTACCTAGGTTTGCAATCATAGAATTATCCTCCACTCTTCATTCTCTTACATTGCCACCCCTCCCCATGCTCCCCCATCCAATCAGTTTACAAGTATTGTCGACTGTACCTCCATAACGTTTCTCACATCTGTCCCTCTCTTTCCATTGAATATTTACACTTTAGTTCAATCGATCAATCAATAGCTTAGTCCTTTATCACCCCTTGACTGAATTATTGTAATTGCTTTCTAATTGTACTCTTAGCTTTGAGTCGTTTCCCTTCACAAATCCATCCTCCACACTGTTGCCAAAGTGCTTTTCCAAAAGTATAAGTCTGACCACATGACTCACCTCATCAAAAAACTCCAGTTGTTCCCTATTGATCCTCTAGGATAAGATAAAAATTCCACTGTCGGGTATTTAAAGGCCTCCCCCGCCCCCATCTGTCTCCAGCCTACTTTTTCAGGCTTATTACATACATCCTCTCAGGTATTCTATGGCCCAACCAAAATGGCTTATATCTCTTCCTCCCACGTGACATTCCATCTCTCATCATCAGGCGCTCCTTGCACATGCTGCTCCCCCAATATATTCTCTCTTCATTAGAACTCCTAGTTTCATACAAAGTTCTGCTGAAGTGCTGCCCCCTGTATGAAGACTTTTCTGCTTCTCTCTAATTGCTAGTGCCTCTTTACCCTGCTCTATTACCTTATATTTAATTCTCTACATGTTGTTTTCCCTGATAGAATGAAAGCTCCTTGAGGGCACAGATTATTTCATTTTCCAGACCCCTAGTTACTAATATTATGCCTGGCACAAAGAGGCATTTAATAAATCCTTATCGATAGATGCCACTCCTCCACTCAAAAACTTTCAGTGGCTCCACACAGCCTATCAAATAAACTTGAAATTTCTGACCACAGCATTCAAGGCCCTCCATATTCTAGCTTATAGTAGTAGCTTATACCAATATTATATATGTATATGTATATGTACCACAAACTGAACTACTCTCTTCCTGGTTTTCATCTTATCTTCGCCTGCCTCTGAGCCTTTGTTTATGTCGTTTTTAGTTGGTAGAATAGATACCTGACATATTTCTACTTGTTGAAGTTGTTCCTTTCCTTCAAGAAATCAATTCAGGTATCAATTTTTTTTTTTAGGCAATTGGGGTTAAGTAACTCGCCCAGGGTCACACACCTAGTAACTGCCAAGTGTTTGGTCTGAGGCCGGATTTGAACTCAGGTACTCCTGACTTCAGGGCCGGTGCTCTGTTCTCTGCGCCACCTAGCTGCCCCCCGATATCACTTCTTACCCCACACCTTCTCTCACCTTCTTATAACCTGATCCCTACAACTGAAAGTAATCTACTCCTCAAATCTCTCATAGGACTTCCTCTGACTCAACTTTACTCTGTCATATTCTACCTTGTACCATATACATATCTGGATATGTCATATCCCCCCTACCCCCCAGTCATCTTCATTTTATGAGTGGAAGAGTTTTGTCATTTTTCATCTTTGTATTCCTAGGACACAATGCTTCACACATAGTAAGTGCTTAATAAATTTTGTTAAATTGAATTTCCCTAATATGGAAAATGAGTTTTACCAGTTTTAATGATTACGTCCCTACTGTACTTTCTACTGATGTGATTGCTCCTTTTCTCAAAAATCTTCAGTGATTTTCTAGTGAATGAAGATCAAAATCTTTTGTATGGTATGTGAGGTATTTGGTGCTACTCCACCTTTAAAAGCAGTCTGATTTCATATCTCTCCTCTAATCATTCTTTACTAACTGGATTACTCTTTATAGAGGAACATACTCTTCTCTCCAGTCTCTGTGCCTTTATTCAGTGTTCCCTATTCCTGGAATGTCTTCCCTTTCTCTCTTCTAGTTGAATCCTTGAACATCCATTAAGGCAGAGCTCAAATGCCACCTCTCCTATTATATGTCCTTTCTCTAATGAACATTTCCTCTTAAGATTTCACAAAGTACTTCCCCCTCCACCCCAGATTTCTAATTCAGTTAAATGTATTTTAAAGTTCTGTGTTTGCAACTTATCCCCTTACTAGAATTTAAGCTCTTCTGAAAGAGACCCTATCTTATCCAAACATTCTATCTTCCTTTAACACCCAGTATAGCCCTCTGAACACTGTAAATACTTAATATTGTTGAATTGGTGAAAGGGTTAACAAAAATAATTACTTAATATGAGTCACAAAACCTAATGGGGTCTTAGGCATAGTATCTGGAACACAGTAGGTGCATTTTGCATTGCTCACACCATATCTGGAGTACTGGGCTCAGCTCTGGACACCACATTTTAATTAGAAAGGAATTCAGAAGAAGGTGACTAAGATACTGAAAGCCTCAAAGCCATGTCACATGTGGATTAATCAAAAGAACTGAGGATGTTTAGTCTACAGAAGACTTAGAAAGGACATAAGAGTCATTTTAAAGTATTTGAGGGACAATAAAGATTAGATTTGTACTTCTTAGTCTCAAAGGGAAGAACTAGGAGTAATAGGTAGATTTTTCTGAGACACATTTTAGATTCAATTTAAGGAAAAACTTACTAAAAATTATAGCCACATAAATGTGTAGGGAGTTAGGATGTAGTGGGTTCCCTCTCACCACAGGTGTTCAAGTAAAAGCTGGGTGACCACTTGTTATGTTTTAAAGAGAATTCTTGCTTAAGTATTGGCATTTTTTTAAGTGTATACTATTTGCAAGGTACTGTGTTAACCGCTGAGGATACAGTTCCTGCCCTCAAAGAGCTTACTGTACTAGGAAGATAGATAAATAATATAAATAAAACATAAATAAATGGAAGCAAGGTACTAATAACAGGGGGAATCAGGAAAGGCTTCTTGAAGAAGATAGTATTTGAGCGAAGCCTTAACTGGCTGTTGAGGTTCAAGAATCGAAGGTGAAGACTGTGCAAAGTTAGGGGAGGCTGTGGATTGAAACTGTATATGGGAACAGCAAGCAGGCAGTTTTGGGAAGGGGGGGGAATAAAGTGGGTGAGGAGAGTAATGTGCAGTCATTCTAGAGATATTTATATTTTGTCTTAGATACAATAGGTAGCCACTGAAGATTCTTGAGCAGGGGTTTGACATGGTTCGACCTGTGTTTTAACCATGTGGGAGTTGTGTGAAGGATGGATTGGAGAGCTGGAGTGATGAGGTCCTGAACCCAATACCATGGCCGAACCCGATTAATGAATATCAGCATCAGTATCACTTATCTTTGGGATTTGAGCTCCCAGCTCAGGAAGGGAGAGGGCACTAGGCCTCCAGTCGGGGATGGGGAGAGGGCAGGGTGGAACCGATCCCAAGGACAAGGAGGCCCGGAATGGTTTTCTTGGATTAAGGAGTGGGATCGAGGACTCCTCTAAATGGGGAAAGTGATCCCAATTCTTCAAGCACTCTTTCCACAAGTGCAATGGCGCCAAAAGGCTTCCCCTCTCCCAACACGCAGTACTCACCCCAGCTCTCTCTCAGGCGCCAACGCCGCCAGCTACCGTTGCTATAGCGCCCACATCGCTTCCGCTGGATTGCTACAAAAACCCGAAGGAAACGAGACAAAGAGGCGTTCCCAATTGCCCGATGGGAAATGTAGTTCTGACTAGGCGTCTCTTCCTTGTCGTACTTAGAAAAGTGGACTACACTGCCCGAAGGTGCAGCACGAGGAACTTCGGGGGCTCTTCCTTCGATCCTCGGGCATGATCTTGACGTGATGCATCGTGGGAATCGTAGTTCTGGTGATTCGGCTTGAAAGCTACACCTGGCAAGGAGAAGTATGCGGAGAGAACTACCAGGGAGGCGGGGCAACCGGGAAGCCAGGAAAACCGGCCCGCTGCTGCGGAGGTAGCTGAAGCATGAAACGAACCGAAGGCACCAGTGAGCAAGAGCGGGAAGCAAAGGTAGGGACTCTTGCCTAGATCAGGGGCGGGGTTTAGGGTCTGTTCAGGAGCTGGAACTGAAGAGCTGGGGTTGCTGGAGCGGCCCACGGATCTGGAAAGAGAAAGAGGAGGATGGGGCTGCGCAACCGTGAGGAGAGGGAGCGGGACCGGGGGTCGCGGATCCGGGAGGGGTTTCGACACTGGTTTGTAGCTAACGTTTCGTGTCCGGTGGAAAAACTGTCCTCGCTTCTCGCCCCCTACGACCCCCTGTTGGGTGTCTCAACTCTTGGCTACTGGCCGCCGGCTCCATGCGGGCACTTGGGGCTTCCCTGCCTCGGTGTCTTTTCTGTCTCGTAGCAATAATTGCACCCTCCGCATCCTCCCTTCCTCACTGGCACACCTGGTGAAATCTTAATGGGGATGAAAAACCTGTGAGGTCCCGTATTTGTACCAGCATTTGTGGAAAATGCGCATTTAGTGCAGAAGGTTTTAGGGCAGGAAGGGACATTAGAAACCCCAAGTCTACCTCCTCACCTCCGTTTTACAGATGGAGAAATTGAGGCCCAAAGAAGGAAGGACTGTGACTTGGCCTTAGTCAACAGTTAGTCAACATGCATTTATTTAGCCATTCCTGGGTGCCTGGCACTGTCCTAAATTCTGGGTATTCAAAGAAAAGCAAAAGCGCAGTCAGTCCCTGCCCTCAAGGAGCTCATTATCTAATGGGGGAGAAGACGTTTCGAAAAACTCTGTAGAATACAAATTATAGACAGAGAAAATAGAAGGTAGTTTTACAGGGAAGGCTGTAGCAGTGACCTGGGAGTGCCTTCTGCATAAAGAAGGAAAGCCCATAGGTAGAGGGGAGTAGGGGAAAGCTTTCCAGGGTTGGGGGACAGCCCTGTGAATAGGCACGGAGTTAAGAGATAGAAAGTCTTGTGGGAGGAACAGCAAGAAGTCCAGTCTCTAGATTTTGGAGGATGTTAGAATTTGAATCTAGGGCCTCTGGCCTCATTGAAAGCATTTATCTACTTTGTTGATACTGTTAACTACATTACATTATCTTATGATGAAGTCCCTATGAATCTGCTTTGTAATGAAAAGGGCTCTGTAGACATCAAAATTGGAGTGCGTTTGACAATAGTATGCTTTGGTAAGCATCTGATAAATGCTTTTTAGTAATGAGGTTACATTGAAATTTTAGTACTAGGAGAGGTAGCTCTCCTGCAGCTACTGCAATGAGGCCAAGGTGTAGAAAGAGACTCATACTGTCCAAACTTCATTTTGTATAGTGAAGCAGAGCTCTAATCAATCAGGTCCATTCACACCTTTTCTTAGGCCTTTTGCCACTTGTTTCCTATATCATATGATACCTTTGAATTCCTTTTCTTCTCCCAAGTGTCATCATTGATTACCATATTTTTGTCAATATGGGGTATTCTTTGCATAAGTGATAGTTTGTGTTTGAACATAATGAAAATAGCTAACTAACATTTATATAGTATTTTAAGGTTTGGAGAGTGCTTTACGAAAATCATCTCATTTTATCTCCATTATAACTGTGTGAGGCAGGTGCTATTATTATCAGCCCCATTTTGCTGATGAGGAAATTAGACAGGCACAGCTAGTAAGTGTATGAGGCCAAATTTGAACTCAGATCTCACTGACTCCATGTCCAGTGCCTTTTCCACTGTGTTACTTAGCTCTAGTGTCTTTCTTTTACACTATAAATGCTCTAAAGCCCTAAAGTTATAACTACATTCTGTGAATCCCATAATTATAGGATTATAATAATTGCTAACATATATGTATATATTTCTTTAAGGTTTGCAGAGTACTTTACATATATTATTTTTGCATGTATTTAAGACTGAAAGGACCTCAAATTGTTCCATTTCCAGCGCCTTCTGTTCTCTTCTGTGCATTAAAAAAAGTTTCAGTGGCCCTCTTTTTTGGCATTATTGTTGTTAACTCTGCTTCCCCACAACCCCATTCCATTAAAAAAAAACAAAACTGAAAGAAAAAAAACCTTGTAGCAAGCATAGTTAGGTAAAACGAATACACATAATGACACTACTAAACACGTATACCTCTTTCTGCAACTTGGTGTCCATCATGTCTCTTTCAGAATGTGGTTAAGTAAAGCCTCTGGAGACATAGTTAGTCATTGCATTGATCATATTTCTCAAGTGTTTCAAAGTTGGTTTCTCTACAGTGTTGTCGTCCTAGTATAAGTTGTCCCCCTGGTTTTATTCACTTCATTCTTTATCAGTGGATACTACCCAAGGTCCTCTGAAATCATATCTTTTGTCATTTTGTTGTGGCACAGTATTCTATTGCATTCATATACTATAGTTTCTTCAGCAGTTCCCCAATTGGTGGGCAATTTTAGTTCTTTTTTTCCCGCCTCCCTTTTAATCTTCACTTCAAGATTAGAAAGTTTATTTTCCTTGCTAATGTATTCCCGGCCTACAGTTATCCTCCCTCTTAACTTATCCCTTGTTGCTGCTTGTTTTCCTGTTGAGTTGAATGTGCATGTGCACACCTATGCTTGTGTGCATGTGTGTTCAACCTTCCTTCATTTCATATAAAAGTGAGGTTTATCTAGTGTCTTCTCTTTTCACCTTTTCATCTCTGTAGACTTTTGCCATGCATTCCAGTTATGAAAAAAAAAGCAAGTTCTACTCCCCCCCTTTCCTCTTTTCTGTACTAGGGTATTCTTTTTTACCTTCTCTTTCGCTTCTTAAGAGCCTTAGAACAGAATCAATCCACATTCATGTCCTATGTTTTTCTTGTTTAAATCCCTCAATACACTTTGAAGACATTAAAATTTTGAAGGGACTCTTGTACCTTCTCCCCCTATTAGAATTTGAGTACTCTGTCATCATACAGTCCCTTCTATTTGGTACAAATAAATTTAACTTTTAAGGTTTATCTTGACTCTTGTGATTGCCTTTCCAAGTTCTTATTCAGCTCTGGTCTTTTTATTAGAAATGCTTGAAAATCCTCTATTCCATTAAAGATCCATTTTCCCCCTGTGGAATTATACTCACCTTTTCAGGGTAAATTATTCTTGGTTGTCTGCCTTTTTCTTTTTCCTTTTGGAATATTATATTCCAAGATCTCCTCTCATTTATGGTAGAAGCTATTAGGTCTTGTGTAATCCTGAGTGTGGTTCCTTTTTATTTTAATTTCTTCTTTTTTTTTTTTTTTGGCTAGGCAATGGGGTTAAGTGACTTGTCTAGGGTCACACAGCTACTAAGTGTTATGTGTCTGAGGCTGGATTTGAACTCAGGTCCTCCTGAATCCAGGGTCGGTGCTCTATCTACTGCACCACCTAGCTGTCCCTATTTTAATTTCTTCTTTCTTAATGTTTGCAGTATTTTTTCTTTGATGTGGGAACTTTGGGTTTTGGCTCTGACATACCTGAGACTTTTCCTTTGATAAATGGATTTTTTTCTATCTTTACTTTGTCCCCAGTTCTGTCTGTCAATTTTCATTTATGATTTCTTGAAATGTAGTGTTTAGGCTTTTTTTTTTAATCATGTTTTTCAGGGAGTGAGAGGGAAGAAGGGAATAAGCATTTATATAATACCTACTATTTGCCAGATTCTGTACTTTTTACAAATATCTCATTTGATCCTCACAAAAATTCTGGAAGGTAGGTGCTATTATGACCCTCATTTTACACTTGAGGAAAGTGAGGCAAACAGATGTTAAAATGTCTTGCCCAGGGTCATACAGCTGATAAGTAGCTGAGCCCAGATTTGAACTAAAGTCTTCCTGACTCTTAGTCCAGTGTTTTATGCATTGCAACACTAGATTTCTCAGTCAATGATTCTTAAATTATTTTTCCTTGTTGATCTGTTTTCCATGTAAGTTGTTTTTGATATCATATATTTTGTATTTTCTTTTATTTTTTATCAGCCTTTTGATTTCCTAATATTTCTTGCTATCAGGTAGCCATTGATTTCTGTTTGTTCTATCTTGTGGAAAATTCAATTTTCCTTTGAGTCTCTATTTGAAGTTATGGAATTTCCTCTCCTTTTGGGTAATTGCTAGATCTATGATAATTTTTTTTCTACTTTTCATGTCTTTATTGGTTGACTTGTCTATACAACTTAAGTTCCAGATTTGGGACCTTGTGCCAGGGGTACTGCTCCCTGCTGCTCTTTTGGTGGGGGAGTCTTTTGGGTGAGTTCCTGTGTTGACCTCCAATTCTTGGGAATAGGCTGGTCCTGGATCTTTGAGGTGCAGATCTCTACATCTTCAGGGTCCTCCATGGTATCTTTTGACAGACTCCTGGGGGTGCCACCAGCCAGAGTGTGGTTGTGCTGCACTAATTGCTGTGTCTTGTGAGGACAGAGCATACTTGGCTCTTGATGCCTCTGGGCATCTTGCTGAAGACTGCTTGGGCCTTTGACCCAACTCTGGTCACACAGGGAGCTGGTGCTTCTTGGTGCCAGCTTTGCTGGGAGCCTCTTTTTCTATTAACTCTTGAACTTCTGGTTGACTTTTTGTGTACTTCTTGGACAGAAAAAGTCATAGTTTCTCTTTAGATTTCTTAATCATTGTTTAGTCTGGTATAAATTTCAGGCTTTTTTAGGTGTTTGTGGTTGGTAGGCAGTCAACGTCCAGTCAGGTAGCCATCTTGGCTAGAAGTC